CTTTTTAAAGAATCTGTTCAATGATTTTCCAAAGTAGCTGTAAGCATTTTATCTTTCATACTCCAGCCAGCAACATCTGAATACTTGGTATTATCTGTGTTTTTTAATAGACGTTCTAGTGGCCGGGTGGTGGTATCTCCCTGTGAATTTTATTTGCATTTTCCTGAGAGTAATGATGCTAACCATCTTTACAAATGCTTATTAGACATCTGTATGTCTCCTTTGGGGAAATGTCTATTCAGATTGCTAGCCTATTTAAAAACTGAGCTATTTGTCATTTTATTGTTGAGTGGTGAGACTGGGAGATAGTGTTGTTTGAATCATCTTTAGCCTTACTGATTTTCTGTCTGGTTGTTTTTATCAGTTATTGAGTGGGATATTAACCTCTCCAATTGTTATGGTGGAATTGTTTATTTCTCCTTTCATTTTGTCAGTCTTTGTTTTGGGGCCTTGTTATTAGGTTGATGTGATTGAGTTTACAACTGACATTTTGTCATTTGTTTTATGTCTCAAATCTTTTCTGTTCCTCTGTTCCTTCTTTTGTGCCTTCTTTTGTGTCAACTGTTTTCTCATGTTTCATTTTAATTCCCTTTTTTCTTATGCTTTGAATTATTAGCAACAGCATGTACAATGTGTATCTTAAGTTGTCACCGTCTACTTCAGAGCAGTGCTGACTGGATTCCTGTGGAACGCAGAGACTTTGCTCCTCTCCACCTACGTTTCCTGTTCCTCTTCTGTGCTATTCTTGTCAGATACATTTCATCTCTATTTGCTATTAACTCACTGTTTTATGCAGTTAGATGCCTCTTAAAGATGTTTTTAAAAAGCAAAGCTGGGTGCCACCTGTAACCACTTGGGAAGCTCAGCACAGGAGGATTGGAGTTTGAGGCCAGCCTTGGCAGAAAGTTTCTGAGACCCCCATCTCAACCAGTAGCTGGGCACAGTGATGCCTGTCATCTGAGCTATTCAGGAGGCTGAGATTGGGAGGATCATCGTTCCAGGCCACCCTGGACAAGAAGGTTCATGAGACCCCTCAATGGAAAAAAATTGGGTATGGTTACACATGTCTGTCATCTCAGCAACTTCAGGAAGCTTAAAATAAGACCAAGGTCCAGGTTGGCCTGGGAAAAAAAATGAGACCCTATCCCCACAAAAAGGGTAGAGGTGCAGCTCAAAGGTAGAGTACCTGCCTAGAAAGCACCAAGCACTGAGTTCAAACCTCAGTACCTCACACACACACAAAGAAGAGTGAAATATATTTATGTAGCCTTTTGTATTTGCCCACATAACTTCTGTGGTGGTTAATTTCTGTGCTCTTTATTTCTCAATGGGTATTTGAGTCACTGTAGGCATCACTTCCTATCTAGCTGAAGGAACTCCTTTGTATTTTTTGCAAGATCTACCAGTGAATTCTTTGTCCTTATTTTCTAGGAATAGCTTTCTTTTATCTTCATTTTCAAATGATAGTTTCTCTGGATGTATATACTTCTTCATTGATAGTTATTTTTTTCCAGTGCTTTAAGCATATCATTCTATTGTCTTCAGGCCTTTGTTGTTTCTGATGAAAAGTCAGCTATTAATCTTATTGAGGATTCCTGGTATGTGATGAGTTTTTAGTGTCTGTGTGTGTGTGTACTTGTGTGTGTTTTCTGCTTTCAGCATTTTCTGTTCTTCTTTACTTTTTAATGACTGATTTGTCTAAGTGTGACTCTTGCTATTTTTCCTACATGGGGATTTGCTGAGACTGTTGCACCTGTAGATTCATGTTTTTCACTATATTTGGGTGTTTTAGCCCTTTCTCTTCTTTCTTTGTAGGACTCCTATTTCACGTATAGTGTTGTGTTTGGTGGTGTCCCAAAGATCTCTGTTCCTTACATTGGATAATACCTACTGTCTTCCCTTCAAGTTCAGATTCTTTCTTCGTAGGTCTCTTCTCTGATACCAAGCTCCTGTAGTGAATCTGCCATTTCACTTATTGCACTTTTCAGTTCCAGATTGTCCTTTTAGTTCCTTTTTTGGTTATAACTTTATCTTTATTGAGAGTATGTACTTGTTATTATCATCTTACTGTAATTTATCTTCAAACATACATTTTCATAACTCTTCGAGTGTGTTTATTGTAGGTGCTTTTAGTCTTGGCTCTGTCCACCATCAAGGTCTACTCGTAGACCATTTCATCTGACTACTTTTTTCTTTTCTGATTAATGAAGGACCACTTTGTTTTGTTTTTTGTTTTGGTTGTGAGCTTGATTTTTTGTTGTTGTTGTTGGTTCTTTTTTTTGCATGTCCCTTTCTGTTGCAAACTGGACATTTAAGATAATATACTCTAGCAATTATGGATTCACCCTTCTGACTACTCCCATCCCCCATACGTTAGTTACCATTGCTGTTTTGTTATTTGCATGGACAAAGTTTATGGAGTCTGTCTTCCATGTGGTACGTGACTACACACTGGTTCTGTTTCTTTTGTTTTTATTCATGTTTTTCACTTCTTAAGCCTGACTTCACAAGGGTCAGCTGTGTATCCATGTAATCCATGAGCAGTCAGAGTGTGTGTTCAAATACATTGACCATTGCATTTGAATTCAGTGTCAAGGAAGGTTTTAAGTTTTCCCTGCTCATACTTCCCTCTGGACACTTTTGCATCTCCTCAGCCTGTGCACACAAACCTAAGATGTAAGGCAGCCAAGGATGCATGGTGAGCTTGAACCTTCTGTGCTCTCCCCAGCAAGTGTGCACAGCCTTCTGGTCAACCAGAGATACATGGAGAACTTACGAAGGACCTATAACTGGTCTTCCTGCTAATTTCTGTGTAGTCTGCCAGTCTGTTGCCCAACCTAGGTCATCACCTCAGGGTACAGGAAGTGGGGTTTCCTTGTTGTATACTGTCAATGTTGCAATCTAATGTTACTAAGTGTTTAAGTTCCACTCCAAACAAAGTGAGCTCCCTCCAGCAGTGGGGCTGCTGGCTTGCCTGGTCAGCCCTGCTGGGCAGAACTGCAGTACCAGCCTGTGAGCGAGGGTATAGGAGGGAGGGCAAGAACCAGAGTCACACTCTTCTTACCCAGGCTTCAGAAGCCATTCAGGACTAAGTGCACTTCAATTTGTGGCATGCTTTTAGTCAATTTCCAGGGTCTTGAAAAGGTTGCTTTTGACGGCTTGGTTCAGTTTGATCATTGTTCTTTGAGGAGAGGATTTGCCAAGCTTCTCATGCTGCCATTCCATTGTCTTGTCACACCTTCTGTAGAGGAGAATGTGTGTGACAGTTAACAGCATGGACTTCAGCCTCTGACTGTCTGGGCCTGGGTCCTAGTCCTATCGTTGCTAGCTTTAAGATCTGGAGCAAATGACTAGATCTTGAACAAATGATTTAACCTCTGGACTTTTGTTTCCTCATCCGTGAATTGGGAATAACAACCTACATAAAGTGTTGTTGTAAGAATGAAGTGGATTAATCTGCATAGTCTTAACAGAAGCCATACTTGCCACTGTGAATACTGGATTATTTGCTCTTTCTGCTGATCGAGCCAGGGCAGAGAGTATCTTACTCAGCATTGGAACCCCTGCCCCTCCATCCTTGACCTGATGCCTTATACACACTCAACTTATCCTTCCCTCCAGTCATCTTTACCAAGTGACATTGACATTCAGGGGATATGTGGGCAGCATTTAGAGGACCTGTGGATGCACAGAGGAAATGGCAAGGGATCCAAGAACAGATGGCTGGATGCCTGGATGAGGCTAAATCTGCATCTTCTCTGCCTCCCAGGACCTGTCCACATGCTTGGTGCTGCTCACGTGCGATTTTAAATTTGAGATCAGGTCTGCACACTCACATTTTCAAGCAGTTAATTTGCACAACTGCCACTATTTCAGACATTCCCTGACATTTGGCACTCCTGGGAGTACACAGAACAGGCTGCCCTGTCCAGGCTGCTGATTTAGGTCCTTGTGCAAAGGGGAAGGGCCACCGGGTAAATTTTGGCCCATTTGAAAGCTGAGAAGTGAGAAATATCCAGGCCAGTATGGCAAAGTACAAGAAAGAATTAGAGCAAAAGAGAGGGTAGAGAGGCAGAATGTGGCCAAGTGACAACAGATCTGTCACTTCAAGACAGAGTTTTGATTTTTCCAGGTGGCAGTGAGTTGAGACTGGTGAGTTTTAAGCAGGAGAATGACTGATGTGATTGAGTGGGGGTGGATTGGATGGGGTGAAGCAGGAAAGAGGACAGGCAAGGAAGATCCACCTGAGAGGATTCAGAGATGGACGGTGAGCAACTGACCTGTGCAGTCACTTTCTGAACTTGGAGATGACTAGAGGGAGAACCTGGACTGAACCTGTCAGGGTTCTGGGCCCTGGGATGAGCCAATGTTTGTGAGATGCAGATATTCATGGGGGAGCAGTTGGAAAAGTAGGGTGTGTGAGTAGGTGGAGGAGGGCAGAACTCCATGCTGGGATCAGGGAAGTATGGGTGTGATGACCATGGAAGGTACAGAGCCATTCATCAACATGTGCATGGGTCTGGGGCACCGAGAGGCAGAGTGGCCAGAGGGACAGATTGGATGTCTTCAGCAGGTAGGAACAGACGGGTGTACTATTGAGTGTGTCCTGGGAGAATTCCAGCCCCAACCAAGAGAGAAGCAGAGGAGAGAGGGTGCAGATGGGGAGGCAGGAGGACAATAATTTGTGCCTGTCACAAGCAAGGGTGTCAGCTACAATAGAGACACAGAGAACCTGGATGATAAAGGCAGGAAAGTAACTTCCATCCAGGAAGTCAGAGAACATGCAGAATGTTAACTGAGAGCACAGCGTGGTAGTGATGGTTGTGCCGACTGCACGGGCTGCCTTTATCTCAGCAATTAGGGACTTTCTTTACAATGTGAAAAAAGGAGGACGGCAAGGGAAAGAAAGATGATTTTTTGGTTATTTTTTACATGGATGAGAGTCAGGCTTGTGTGTGGTTGTGGTAGGGATGGAGCCAATGCAGAGGGGGAGAGGAAAGAGGAAGAAACACAGCGATGATGGAGAAAGGCCTTCAGAGACAGGAAACGACAGGGTGGAGAGAAGGATTTGTGTTAAGTGGGACGGGAAGACAGCTATTTTCAGGTGGAGATAGGCGGACACCCCACCGCACATCCCCCCAACCCCCGATCCTTCCTCTGCTAGGGTCCTCCTGGCTTCATAGGAAGAGGCACTCTTGTCCCATCGTCCACCGATGCTGGCTGTCCACACCCATTGGGTTTTATTTGGGGCACTAACAGCGTTGTTAGCACCTAAAACTGGTCGCATGCATCCAAGAGGTAGTAAACGCAAGAGAGAGTGAGGCCACATAGTGGCGAATCTACTTTCCTTCTGACACGGGAAGCAGAGATGGACAGGGCATCAGGAGACAGCGCTGTCACTTGCAGGTATGTGATCCTGGGCACATTGCTTTGGTCCTCTGGGATCCAGCTTTCTCCCAGTAGACCGTGGGGAATGAGCTAGGTCAACATCAGCACCCATGCTGACAGCGAAGTCTGTGGGGTTTGCACTTGAGCATCGTGTGTGTTTGGTGAAGCTGAAGGTATTTTCTACCTGAGATGCACCAAAATAGCTGAAAGAACAGCCAGCCAGGCGAGCACAGTGAGCAGGCAGAGCAAGACAGTTCATGTACATGGCTGTTCGCCTCACTGCTTGACACCACATTTGACTTCCTTATTCCTCTGGGAACTTTTTAATGCTGTATTGGGGGCGTGCTGTTTTTGTTCTGACCTGTTTATCTTACACCTTGATACACAAGCTTTAGTGATTGTATTATTTTCTTATCAGCTTATTTGTGGGGTTCATTTCCAAGACAGGGATATAATTAGGAGGTAGATTATTTTGGCATTTAGGATTTAACTTGTCTGGTAAATCCTGGTACGACCTGTCTGGTAATTTGCTCTTGAGGAATTTATATATAATGATTTTGTGTGCTGCCCTGGTGCAGGAAGTTTGTAAGCAGCAGATTCCTATGGAATTTCCAGGAGAATTTGAAGGTCAAAAAGAAAAAGAGTGAAATGTATATGATCAACTCTGACATTTCATATCATTGGTCTAGCAGAGCTATAGATTTGGGTGTGAGATTCCTAGTACACAAAGCAAAAAGGGAAATACAGCAATAGGCATTTATTAGCCTTTGGAGCTAGGGTAAGAGAAGTAACAAATTAATTCCTACAAGAAGCAGTTTATTTTTTTCTAACACTTGACTTAAAACATTTCTCCTTTCAGCCTTAAGCTAACTAGTCTTGAGAGCATATCTAATTTTTTAGAGGGGTACTTAGTTTTCCTTTAAAATGTTCCAAGGTCCAGGGAATTTCGGGAAATGCTACATAATACATATTTGATGGACAATTAGCAATGAATGTTGCCATTTAGAAAACTCCCATAGTTTTGTGGTGAAGAATGTTGTTTATCTTTGCTTAACATAGAGTTTTAAAAATTACATATGACCTCAGAACTCTTTTCCTTCCTGTATATTTTTTTCCTTTCAGTAGGAAGGATTGAACTCAGCCTCCATTGCTCTACAATTTATCCCACGACCCCAGTCCTTTTGTTTTCAGTTTGTTTTTTCAGATACCACAATTGGCTCCTCTTACCTCTCCCTCCCAATTAGGTGGGATTATAGACGTATGCTACCACACCTGGCCCCTCCTATGTGACTTTTAACAACAACCTTCTTTTTTTTGTTTGCTTGGTTACCAGTTTCTGGGGACTAGCTCTGTGTACATCACAGTGCCCATTAGGTTTTGCCCCGATGATCCAGGCTGCCTCTCTGAGACAGGGCATGGTGCTTGGTCTCTAGTGTCCCTTGGGATCAGCAGAGTTGGGATTCAGTCCTGGCTGTTCCCCTCACTACCTGAGTGGCCATATTCAGAGTACTTATCTTCTCCCAGCTCAGATTTCTCATCTGCAAATTTGGGACAGACATTTATGCACCCATGAACTCATCCCATAGAATAAATGTGCCAATGTATGGGAAAGCAGTAACCAGCATGTGTAATTAACACATGTGCCATGTGACTGTATTTATGAGACCCCATCCTGGAGTTTGTTGAGAGCCACTCCACCCCACCCACCGTGGCTAAGTGCTCACTAACTGTGCTGCCTTTCTGGGTACCGACCCTGCCCTTCTCCTTATTGTGGCGGAGAGAAACTTACAGCCCTTTTATGATACCTCCCTGTTTTTGTAACGTCATCTCTACTATACTGGCTGAGAGTAGAGACGATGTCTGGTCAAACTGTGTCTCCAGCCCCTGGCTCAGTCCCAGCATGGTACAGATTCACAGTGTGGGGGTTTTCAAGTCATCAGCTCGTATGCTGGGGTCCTAGAGCCTAGGGAGAAGCCTGATGGAGGGAAAACAACTCTGCCTGGGGAGTCTGCCTGAAAAGTCATTAGTGCATTAGACTGAACTCTCTCTCTCTCTCTCTCTCTCTCTCTCTCTCTCTCGGTGGTGATACTGGGGTTTGAACTCAGGGCTTTGTGCTTTTTAGACAGATGGTCTACCACTTAAACCACTCCTCTAATTGCTTTTGCTCTGATTATTTTGGAGATAGTGTCACTTTTACCCAGGTGAGCCTGAACCACGATCCTCCTAGTTTATACTTCCCGCAATAGTGGGAATGACGGGTGTTCCAACTCCTCCAGCCTTTTTACCATTGAGATGGGGTCTCAGTGACCTGGACCTTTGATCTTCCAGAACTCAGACTTCTGTATAGCTGGAAGGCATACCACTGTGTCCAGCAATTGACTGAGATGGGGTATCGCTAACTTTTTGTCTAGGTATCCTTGAACCACGATCCTCCTAATCTCTACCTCCTAAGTATCTAGGATTACAAGTATCAGCCATGGTGCCCAACTTGAAATCTCCTTCTGAAGACTGTATCTGGTTCTCAGTACCTCTTAGTTGAATGCTGAAGAAATGATTTAACTCTAATTGTTCTTGAAGTGTCTCTAATAAAAAGAGACTCAGACTTGGCCACATGCAAATTAGTAGTTGAAAGCGTCCAGGTTGTGGTGTCAAAAGTGCCAAACACAACTACTGATAATGGCTGACCTGACGCCAGTGGTTCTAAAACTCAGGTTCTGTTGGGAGAAAATTCTGTTACCTAACTGCCCCAGTGGGAATGGGAGTCTTTGCTTTTCTAGGGTGGGCCACAGAGCTAGGGAGAAAAATCAGTGAGAGATTTATAAGTTTGAGGTAATTACATTAATGGTTTAAGAGAATTGTGAAAATATTCCCTTAGAATTAATTGCACATAAAAATTCACTGAATATAAGGAACAAAAAGAATTTCCTGTGATTTACTTTGTGGGTATTTAGGAAAACAATGGGGAGGGGCCGTGAGAGATGAAGAAACCAAGGCATGGGTCTGAAGATGCAAATAACGAAATACCAAAAAGTTGAGGACATGGCAGAGATGGACTGAGGCTTTCTCAGCATGTCAGGCTGAGACTGTCACTTTTACCCACAGTGGTCAGAGAAAACAACTTTCTGCAAAAGACCTGTGTACAGAGAGTGACCCAGAGAGAGCTGGGGGCTGCTGGCACCCTGATTCCCGGAAGGGGGAATCCATGCTGCATGGTCACAGCCCCAGACACCTGCAGGTTCCATGTCCTCCACTGTGCAGAATGTTTGCCCCTCATTTGAACCTTGTGACAGGCTGTGAGGGCAGAATGTCATCTCCATATTACAGATGGGAAAAGGGGACTCACAGGATTCAAGCCTCTTGCCTCGAGTTATCCGGTTAACTCGAGGCTCTCAAAATCTCATACATGTCCCCCTACACACCTCTGTACAAGAAGACATGTCCTAGCCAGGCTTGTGGCACACGCCTGTAATTCCAACATTTGGGAGACTGAGGCAGGAGTTCAAGGGAAGCCTGGGACCCTGTCTCAAAATAAAAAAACAAACATATCTTTGGCACATCAGATAAGAAATTGAAGTTATCTTGCAAATAGTTTTATGGTTTTAAAAAAAAATCAAACTGGCACTAAAATTGTGCTTAGAACGACCCTTTTCCCCTATAGCACTGAGAATCAAACCCATATCCTTAGTTGTACTGGGCAAGCTACATCCCCGCCCAAAGAATGATTTTTTTTGTATAAACGGGAGTACTTCATTAATTTATTGTCAGTGCTGGTTTTATTACCAGACAAAAATGATGTGATTTTCCAACTTGGGTTGATGGAGAACTGGTAGAGCAGAGATTTTGCATTCTGTGTAGAACAGCCCACTGCCTGCTTTTGTAAATAAAGTTTTATTGGAACACAGCCATGTCCCCTTGCTTGTATGTTGCCTGTGGATGCTGCTTTGTGTGACAGCAATAGAGCTGAATAGTTGTTACAGTGGCTATTTGGCCTGGAAGCCTGAAATACTTACCCTTTACAGCAAAAGCATGTCACATCCTGTTCAGGGACCCCAGAGATGGGAACCACAGATCTTTTTGCATGACCACAGAGATGTGGACGTCTCTTGGGCTGTTGTTAGCATCTGTTTCCTGACATGGGCCCTTTTTTATCTTTCAGTCAGCTGCTGGGTCTACCATTTTGGCTTGGTAGGCATCTCCACACAGGTGCCCATGCTTGATGTCATGCTAACAAGAAGCTAGCGATGCCTCCATTTCTCACCAGGACCATTGTAATCACCCACTCAGCAGTCTTTCTTCACTCCAATGCATACAACATTCTGTGTTATAGCTTAAGACCCTTCTCTGGCTCCCCATTGACCTTCAAATCAAGGGCAGACCCTTATCTGGCCTTCAGGGCTGTTTATCTCAGATTGCTGCTCCCAGTGCTTTCTCCAGGCCACTGGGCTTTGCTTTTGGAATGTTGAGGCGTCGTCTCTTCTTCCACGTCTTTTAGAATCTAGTTCATTCTTGTGGCATCAAAGATCAATTTCCCTACACACCCTCACTCCCTTGAGCCCTCTGCCACTGTTTCCCTGTTGCTGACTGGGTTGTCACTGGACAGTGCCTTTCTGCTATTCCCTGTCTCTTAATGACCACTATGTCTCTTGTACTGTCCACAGAGAGGCACTTGGGTGTGTGGAATCGAGTTTGAAGTGGGAAAGGTCACACTGTGCACCTACTGTGTGCCAACTGCTTTGATAACGTGATCTTGTGAGTGCTCGGACTCGGACGAGCCCAAATGGTTGTCCTCAGTGCACAGGTGCCCAATGGGCTCAGAAGGACTGATTTGACCCAGTGCTGACAAGGCTAGATTGCAACTGCAGGTTCCCAGCTGCAGAGCTGCCCTGATAAGACCAGGTTGCAGTGTTGTAGACATTCCTGTGCCTGCAGCCCCTCTGCACCAGGCACACCTGTGCACGCACACCCCTCCCCCTGCTGGTATTTTGGAATCACTGGGGAGTGTTGCGAATGTGGACAGC